GCCATTTTAAGGATGAAATATTCCTCTCAGCAACGTGGTTTCTGGTTTTTCGTACAGCAAGCAATCTTTATTCTACCAGCTTTTGGTGTTCTCATTTGCAGGTAACAGTTTCAGCTTGTGTTTCTTTAAATGCACGCCGCATTATAATACGAACTTGTAGAAGTTGTCGCTCCTGTCGCCATAATTTTACATATTCCGCTCTTTTGCTACTTAGTTTTCTGAACTCAAATTTTTGGAAACGTCATTTGACATCATAAAATTCTCTTAGTTGCTTGAACTAAAATGGCGATGGTTCATTTATCTTTTCGTGATTATACTGTAATCAAAAGTAGAAAATTTTGTTCGTTTACGGGATAGTTCAAGCACAGGAAAACAATTTAAAATGATTTTAACTTACAAAATGGATATTTTTGAAAAGTAATTTCCGCTAAAAACTTTTAATGCTAGCGATTGGATCTATATTAGGTTGTTGCTGTTTGTGGTGACCATTACCTGAAGCCGTCTATTTGTTAAGCAGAACTCGTCCTTTTTGTGATGTCCGATATATTGTTCGCTTTTTGATACTTCTGCTATATGATGGTATTTGCATTATTTTAGATAGAGCAGATCATACTTAGCTCAGAAATGTTTCTGCCTTGTTTACCTATGATCCTGGAAGGCCTCCTGACTGACGCCTTTCCTTTCTCAGTCCCCACAAGAATTTCACGGGCTGAAGTTAATTGTGTAGTAAACTTTAAAGGCCGAGCCACACTATTTATTAATAGATATTTCTGAACCAGCATTTAAGATACCTTTAATGAACTTTCAATTAAAAAGCCCTAAACTTAGCGTAACTTAGCATAACGTAGCTTTAATTATTTATAGGCCTCGTTGTGTATATGTAGCCTGAAAGCTTACAAGTATTTGTGAAATAGCACTTTTATTAAAATAATTGGTCATTTTATCGTCCAAAGTTCTCATGTTGTCTGTCTCTTGGGTTGTCTGTTTTTGCAGTAGATGTTTTCTGCTCGCTTTCTGCTTTGTTCTGCAATATATTCATACTCAATAAATATAATGCCAGCAGGTTGTTCCTGACAGCCACATTTTTG